GCCGACCACCTAATCTGCGTAACCTCCTTGTTCACAGCTCCCTTGACTGCCCTCAACAACCATCCACACCAGGCACTTTCCCTTGCAACAGAGCTAGCTGTATCACCTGCAAGTACACATCCACCACCACACTCATTCAAGGCCCCTCAGGACAATTCCGGATAACCCAGACAGCATTTTGTACCTCCAGCAACCTTATTTACTGTATCTCTTGCAGTAAATGCACAGCCATCTACATTGGAGAAACAGGAAGGAGACTCGGCGACCGCTTCAGAGAACACGTCAGGGTTGTGAAGATTAAAGATCTCTCCAAGCCCTTTGTTTCTCATTTCACCTCTGACGGCCACGACCACTCTAATCTCTCCATCTGTGTTCTCAAAGACGGTTTTCCGAACTCATACATCAGAAAGACCACCGAAACTACAATTATTCTGCAGCTAGGATCACACATTCTCCCTTCTCTTAACGACAGATTACTGTTCTTTTAAATTTTCTCCATTCATTGGAAGTTTCATTTCACACCTCTCTGCACCCATTCTGACTTCACACCTCTTGATTGGCCTCTCTTTCTGTCCCCTGCTCCTGCCTCTCACTCCTCCTTCCTCCCAACCTTTGTTCTCCTGCTACCTTACCTTTACCTACTGCCCTGTCTCTCTCACACCTGAAGAAGGCTCCACGGCCGAAACGTGTTCTCTTTCTTTTTTTTTTCAGCATGGAATAAACCTATTACTTGTTCCTATAAGATATAATGATGTGTTCCTGCTTACAATTTGCAGCTTTTCAGCTAAATATTTATCACAATCAAGAGGTGTGAAGTCAGAATAGGTGTCGAGAGGTGTGAAATGATACTTCCACTGAATGGAGAAAATTAATTATAATAGTAGTCTGTCGTTAAGAGAAGGGGGAAGGTGTGATCCTAGCTGCGGGATAAGTTTGGTTTCAGTAGTCTTTCTGATGTATGAGTTCGGAAAACCATCTTTGAGAACACAGACGGAGAGATTAGAGTGGTCGTGGCCGTCAGAGGTGAAATGAGAAACAATGGGCTTGGAGAGATCTTTAATCTTCACAGCCCTGACGTGTTCTCTGAAGCGGTCTCCAAGTCTCCTTCCTGTTTCTCCAATGCAGAGAGAAACTGGGCATTTACTGCAAGAGATACAGTAAATAAGGTTGCTGGAGTTACAAGATGCCATCTGGGTGATCCGGAATTGTCCTGTGGGGCTTTGAATGAGTGTGGTGTTGGATGTGTACTTGCAGGTGATACAGCGAGCTCTGTTGCAAAATAATTTTATTAAAAACACGTTTGCGTTTGTTTGGGAGCTATAATATAGCTCCCAAACAAACGCAAACGTGTTTTTAATAAAATGTTTTTATTCATTCATAATTTAACTTGCATAACTCGCATTCCCGAGTGCCCCCCACCCCGTCTAACAATTTTAGGAAGACTAAGAAAGGACTAAGGAAGTTGTCATCTGTTGTTGAAGCTCTGTGAACTCGGTGACTTTGAGATCACTTGTTATCCCAAATTATTTGAATCACCACAAGAGCTGACTGACAAGATTTAAGATGTGGCTGTCAATGTTAGATTAAAAAAAAACACATTGCCCGACATTAGTTACATTGCTTGAAAAATAATTTTATTTTGAGAGACTGGATAAGTAATTCAAGTGTTTTTTAACTTCCTGAAAAACAAGTAATAATTTAACGGTATGTGCAAATATTTTATGATATGTTGCTGTTGTGAATGTCTGTAGAGTGTATCTTATTTGCCTGTCCTGACTGGTGGAGCTCATCCAGCTGTGTCTGGATATCTTGGTCAAATATTTGGCTAGTGTGTATTGGCTCTACTGTACACAGAGAGGGGCGGGAGGGGGGAACAAGCTGCCCAGCCATGTGGAATGCTACAGAACGCTAAACAGACAATACACACTAGCCGAATATTTGACCAAGATATCCAGACACAGCTGTATGAGCTCCACCAGTAAAACTCAAAGTATTACGCTGGTCCACATTATTTGTAACCAGCATTTTAAAGACTTTATTTTTTCATAGACAAAAAGTAACACCCACCACAGCATTTCGTTGATCTAACTAACAAAGATGGGACATTAGCTAGCCAATATGATAAAGGAATAACTTACTTTTTTGTTTATTTCTTTAGCACATTTATTTGAACATTGCACTGAAATGTACAAGCACTGAAAAACTGTTCAATCCCTAGTTCGTCTGGCATTTTCTTTTACTATAACAGATATAAAAACTCCCTTGCTTTTAACAGAGCGTTTAATAATTTCTTACAATTATTAAACGAGAGCTCAAAATATCACAAGGATCCTCAAGAGATCAACAAAGACAACAGGAAAATGTTTATAAGATACTGTACATGGGAATCCAAGCTTTTTTATCTACGCTAAGAAGTAATCTTTAAAATTTCTTCAAAATTCCGGGATAAGCCTGTATTAGAAAATATAGGACTTCTTCGAATGTATGTCAGGCAATCAGACTTCAGGACCGGATTTATCCATTTTATAATGGGGAATATAGTGTAAAATCCTGGGTTTGGTAAAATGTTTCAGGCATTCATGTGAAGGACAACAGAGCTTTCACTGGCCTATTATCATTATTATTCATAATTATATTAATTTAAGGGTCCATATATCTAAAAATATGTATCTATATAGCAGGTAGTATCACTGAATTCCACTTTCTTTGTAAACGCGGAAAAACAGATTCAAACGTGACGCTGTGTCACTGTATAAAAAAAACGGTTTGAACACCCTATATTGTAATAAGCTGCTGAGCTAAGAATAGGAATGTTTCTGTTGTCAGAGGGGGTGGAAAGTACCTGTGGTCATTTAATTAGTATTACAATTCGCACTGATTCCCTTGCGAAGATATGGACATAAGAATATTCGTGCATGGTCAAAAAATGGCATTAAGCACTTAAAATTAAATGGTCAATAATAGTAAACTGTAAAATGCTGTAACAAGATCGGTTAAACTGGGAAGAAAATGCTTTCAAAGAAAATGTTTCAGGTGTGAAGAACATAGATCCCCAATGCAATTTCAACCAAACCTGTTCCCACACACCCTGCCCCACTGCCATTAGAATATACACAAAGCACTGAAATCTTTTGAGCTGATGATCGGGTGTTTACGTCAACACCTTCCAGCAAGCACGTGCCCAGACAAGAGAGAGACACAAGACAAGCCCGCCAGCCCAAGAGAAAGCGAGAGAAACACCAAGGGGTGCGGAACCAGGGAACTATTTACATGGAAAACAGGCGATCTCCCCAGACTGTCCGCCCGTTTCACTGTTACCTGGATACCTCTTTATTTAGAACTCACTCTCCCCCCTGACTGTCTGACTTTTTTAAATCCTTCTGTGCCTGGATTGCAGCGGGTAAGATATTTTTCCAAGAACAAAAGAAAAATTAAAAAAAGAGAAATTTCACCAGAGCCTCTTCTCTTCTTGTGTCTAATTTTTAGTTTAGAAGGATTCAAGCAGGATTTTAGATGAAAGGCAGCGGCCTCAATCAAGCCCAAATCATAATTGAACCCATTCAGAGCCTACATTACATTTTAGCGTTTCATTCTGAGCAGAAGACCCTCACACCTGAAGAAGGCTTGTGTTTTCTCTCTTCTCTTTTAAGCATGTGTACAATGCTGTAATACAATACAAAGATCTTCTGCACCACTTCTGCACCACTCTCCTCCACATCAACACTCTCCACTCCACTACACCGTCTTACATGAGTGTCCAGGCCAGAGGGACCTTTGCTGTCAAAGTCTCGTCTTGTGGCTGTAGAGAATGTCCTGTTGTGACGTTATATCTGAAATGTGTTCTACTTTTGAGGCAGTCGATTGATGTTGTGATATGAACAGAGAAGGGACAGTGTTCCGAAGAACTATCATAAATAATCACTTTCCTCTGATTTCCACGATAAAATATTTAACAAATCTATTTAGTTGACTCCCAGAACACATTAAAGGCTCACGCTCCATTTATATAACTATTAGCTTAAGTTCTGTTCTCTAAACTCCCTAGGATATCATAAAATTCACAGCTAGTAATAGTGATTGACATTAAATCTAAGTGTTAGTAAATTACACTTTTGTTAATACACACGTATTAATAAACTTCATTATTAATAAATATGGTATGAGTGTTAAGCAATTTGAGTTCAATATTCCAATAAATTTCCAAGTGACAGATGCATAAATTCAGTACATAGTGACAATATTATTTCCACTACATTTGGGAGCCTTCTAATGTGATCTAGCGTTACACCAAGTGTGGTACTAAGTTGCTTAAACCATAGTGCTGCAACTCTGCAACTCACAACTGGCAACCCACTGAAGCTAAGCAGGTGTGAGCCTGGTCAGTACCTGGATGGGTGACCTCCTGGGAAAAACTGCTGGAAGAGGTGTTAGTGGGGCTAACAGGGAGTGCTCACCCTGCGGTCCATGTGGGTCCCAATGCCCCAGTATAGTGACAGGGACACTATATTGTAAATAGGTGCTGTCCTTCGGATGAGATGCAAAACTGAGGTCCTGACTCTCTGTGGTCATTAAAAATCTGAGCATGTTTCTTGAAAAGACTAGGGGTGTAACCCTGGCGCCCTGGCCAAATTTCCCATTGGCCCTTACCAATCATGGCCTCCTAATAATCCCCATTTATGGATTGGCTTCATTACTCTGCTCTCCTCCCCACTGATAGCTGATGTGTGTTGAGTGTTTTGGTCCACTATTGGTGCCATTGCATCATCCAGGTGGATGTTGCACATTGGTGGTGGTGAAAGGTGAGTCCCCATAACCTGTAAAGTGCTTTGAGTGGAGTGTCCATAAAAGCGCTGTATAAGTGTAAACAATTATTATTAATTATAATTATATGAAGAGGTGGTTTAAGTTAGTCCACTACTTTAGTCACCTCTAGAGGGCAGCAGCTGTTACTTTGTGTTCATTGCAATTGAGAACAGGTTTAGTACGGTGCTGCAGACTACGCACAGCGGCAAAGTTCGTTGCAACTGGACACAAGTTTAAACCGCAGCTGCATACTAAGCATGGGTTGAACTCCTGGTAGTACACTACTTTCAGTTCGTTACAATTGACCCCAACTGTTTAGTACAAGGCTCAAAGAGACTTAAGTTATGTTTATATTTTTATTTTTTATTGCATCAATCTTAAATCAAGCCTTTTAACCTTCTGTTATATCCTGAGTTTATATGTAAAGGGCCAATAAAGGATAATTCAGAATCAGAAGATTTTTGACACTTATAACTCTCCAAGAAATGTTTAGCTTTAGCTTAGAGGACATTACAGTGGTTGGCATTGTTGCCTTGCAGTGATCATTCCCTGGTGTGCTATATACTTGAAGTTCTCTATGTTCTCCCTGGGTTTACATAGGTTTTCACGAGGTATTCTTGGTTTCTCCTACAGTCACAAGACATACTGGTAGGATAATTGTCTTTGTGCCTGTGAGTGTGCCCTTTGTTGGACTGGTGTCCCAGCCAGGGGACCTGTGTCCTGTCTGTGTCCTCTGTCCTGCCTTGGCCCCCATTGCCTTCTGGGATGGGCTCCAGCTCTTCCGTGTATTAGATAAAGCAGTTAGAAAATGGGTGGGTGGTTCATTTAAACTTTACCTAGAACCTCATTATTTCTTCTGGAAATTAATAACCTTTAAATAATCTTAGTCTGTATTTTTCAGTTATGAGCACATTATCAGCCCTCTAAGTTTCACTCTAATTACTCATTTTTTTGTAAAGTTTATACTCCATTAACTATATTAAGGATTAATACAGTAGTTTTGAAACTCCTGCTTGGGACAAAGTCCCAAAGTGTGTATAAGAATATACACACATATTTTAAAAAACCTTAGGGATGAATTTTGCCATTTGTTTGTAATATCAAAAATAGAAAATAGATGTTATATTGTTCCAAGTGTTTTATCCTGGTAAAAACAGAACTGGCATGCCATTCAAAATGAGAGTGAATAATGCTATGTTTTAGCTATATGTAAAATATTTTCAATATTGGCCACTAAATTAATCCCATGGATCTGAAAGGTTTCTTCTCCATATTTTGCAGCTTGCCATGACTCCTGTAGTTCTTGTCAAGGACCTGGAGAGCAGGCATGTCTCTCCTGTGCTGATCCTTCTCTTTTCCTCAGAAGCGGGCGCTGTGTACCCAGCTGTGGGCTGGGCTTTTATGTTAAACAAGGCACTTGCTATGGTAACTGTTGAACTTATATTTATCATGTTTTCTATTATATTTATGACATTATAATTTATTTTCTTAACCATGATGTTTTCCTGAAAACCTTAAACTGCTTGAAAATTGTTGAACAAAGTGGCTTTTTAAAGGTTTATTTAAAATAATACATCATTTAAAATGATTCTTAATGTTTGTACAGTGGCACAAAGCAGAAAAGGAATGGTTCCTTAAACAGGTTTTGATCTTCTAAAACAGTTTTTGTATTTCAAAAATCCATAGACTGTAATTATTTAGGAATACTTATGCTATTTGTTTTTCATTTATTGCTGTGACAATATACTACTGCCTTAGATGATTGTTATAGTTATGTTTAACAAGTTGTAATTTTCATAATTACTTGGCAAAATGGAATATATTTTAGTTAATATAGTGGTAATTTAGAATTATCACATCAGTTTGCACAGTATTCCTTACCTGATCTTTTGTAGTGAGGCACTCCTCATTTAATTCTACGGACATTATATTTGCTTGGGAAATTGTTTAATGCAAAATAATAAATGCTTACTGTACAACATTTGCAATCAAATATACTTTGAAAATATATAGACTATATCTAGTCTATAATTTTTTATAGTGTGACAAGAAAGAATTGAACATTTGGACACATTACATTAGATAATTTTAACATTCACAGCCTTGAATTCAGTTTCACAATACTTTCCAGTAAACAAAATGTTATAAAATAATTGGCTCACCACATACTATGAATGAAGATGTTCGTGAGTAAATGTACACACTAAGCTCCAATCATAGTTATTGTTGATGTACTTAGAGTTTGTTTTTCTGACTCTAGCATGTGACAGATCCTGCCTCATGTGCTACCCTGACAGCTCAAAGTGTTTGCGCTGCCCCTCAGGGAGAGCACTGCACCAGGGGAAATGCATTCCCCTTTGCCCAAAAGGGTATTACAAAGATAAAGCTAACAGATGCAGTGGTGAGTTATTTATTTAGTTACATGTTTATCACTAGAAGATTCTTTACTCTTGCAGGTTTAACTGTTTTTACAGTGTTACCTTTATTTAGTTTCCTAAACAGTAAAATGCACTGAAAAACTACGAACTAATACCTGTCAAAGACATGATTTCCAATTGCATTGATTATGAATTATGAGTATGTTGAATTCATCATACATACATAGCATAGCATGCAAATTCATCAAACATACATATTACATTCTACACTTCTACTCTGAAAACATTATATACTCTTCAGCATGACATCATAGGGGAATCACAGTAAACAGGTTGAAGAAATGGGGATAGACATGTTTATAACTCAGTATATTTACTGTTGTGATACAAATTTCTTGTGATATGTGGCCAAACATAAACTTGTTTTTCTGTATGAACTGTCTAATTGTTAGACATATATAGGCTATATTTTTACTGCAAGTATTAATACCTTAAAATGATAAATTACTTTGGGGGAATTGGTGTTAGTAATGTACATTTACTTTAATAGAATTGTGGAAAACAAAAAGAAGCACATCTTCAAATATCTGACCCAGTTCTGTGGTTCTCTTGCAGAATGCCATAGTTCCTGTGCTGACTGCAGTGGCCCTTCAGCATCTCAGTGCAGTGTGTGCCCTGCTGGATTAGTGTTGCACCAGGGAACATGCCTGGATATGTGTGGAGAAGGCTTCTACTCTCATCTTGGAGTCTGCAAAAGTATAAAAGCATCATCCGTCTTTCCCTTCACACCCCTTTACACTAATACACTCATTTATATTTAAATATGCAGGTTGTGGATAAAAAAGTGGAAACACCTGGGTAAATGAGGGACACCAAGTATATTGAAAGCAAAGGTTTCCACATAGTTGGGCCTCGTGTTAATTAAGTAAATATAGTGACAGCAAGCTAAAGTTCATGTACAGATGCAGCCATTCAAAATGGGTGAGGTAGTTCGCGGCATACCCCAGTGGGCGTGTCGCGGTATCACGCAGTTCACGTGGTGTCGTCTTGTAAAACCGCCAGGGGGAGCTTAACCTCTCATGTACAGCATTTGAGCCTTTAATTTTGAACTGTGTATTACAGCATGTTAATCATCAGTCATTTAAATGTTGGTATATTTTATGAAAGCAAGATTGCTCAGTTGGA